AATTTCAATTAGATATAAATGGCAAAATAGAATTTCTGAAGACAAGTCAAATGAATCGAATAAATTCGTTTTTAATTTTTTTAAGAAATACAACTCAAACAAATTATTTCGTTACATCCCTCAATACAAATTATATTGTTAAAGCACAATTAGCATCAGGTCAATCTGTTGTGGCCATAGCAAATCAAGTTTTATATCCTTCTAGAAGTGATACAAAACTCTGTAGTAATGAAAATTTAATTGCAAATGCAACACTTTCTTTATTTCAAAATCATTTCATTGACATTAATCGAAGAGAACAAATGGAACCAATGAATAATTCCATAATTGTTAAAGGATTTTATATAGGATGTTATCCAGTTGAAGCAATTCTTCAAAGTACTTTAGATTGTTTATATGACATTGATTGTCTTCAGTTATTAACAAATTATTTTCCGAAACTTCAACACGTTTGTTAACAACATTGATTTACTTATTAATTCAAATCTTTTCTTTTCCATTTAGATAAATTTCAATCCAAATAATTCAGTTTTATTAACAAAACATAGGAACATTTCAGTGAATGAATATTTCAATGAATTTTTTATTTTTAATTGGTCAAAAGAAATTAATCATGAAAAATATTTTAATCAATGTTTACCATTTAATTGTACATACTTTATCAAACATGCAATGAAACTATCATATGGAATTACACTTTTTATTAGTCTCTATGGTGGTCTCATTATTATACTTCGATTTATTTCATCATTCATGATTGAAAGTTTTATTCATCTTCAAGGTAAAGATTTTTCCAATGAAAAAGATTTTATGAGAAAAAAAATCTTCTTTTAAGAGCAAAGAAGAAATGTCATTGTATCAATAAAACAATTGAATTTATTCAAAAATGTTAATAATCGAACGCAGGATTGTATTAGACAACAAGAAATTGCTACATGGATTTATTTTATTTTATTATTTGGTAATTAAATTCGTCTTATAAATCACTACACAAGAAAAATTCCATCGCGGTTTATCTTCTTGTGAATTTTTGTCACAATAGGTGTGGGTGAGAGAAGTAGTGCTATAACCTAATGACGCTCGTGAGAATTGCCTTATTTCATAGCCGCATAATTAAATATTTGAATGTTGAGACTTCCACCTATTCAAACACAACGCAGGTCGAGTGCACCCCATCGGATCTGAATGCCAGATTACTCGTCCTGAGAATATTTCACACTACTATTCAATGAAATCTGTTTGAATGTTCTTTTCGATTTTTCTTTCAGTTACAATTGTTGTTCTTTGCTTATTTACATCGTTAAAAAGTGAAATTGTGACAATAATTGAGCGAAATCCGTCGTTTGAAAGATACAAATCATTAGAAATATCTTATTCGTCAAATCTTCGATGTTCATGTTCAAATGAAACAATATCTTATAAAAATTTTCTTTCATTATCTCCGCATTTTCATCCAATATGTTCAAGTAGTTTTATAAGTTCCGAATGGATTTTAAATATGAGAGACAATGACCGAGGTCGTATATCTGATGATTGGATATACTATTCCTCATCATTATTTCAATATTTATCTGATTTTTGTAAATTATCAAATAAAACAATTGACGAATCAATGAATCGATATCTTTCGCAATTGTTTTTCATTTCTTCATTAATAAATGAAAATGATTTTCAAAAACAATTTAATACAAGTTTAAATCAATTTTATCGATCAACACTTTCTAATTTTGCCTTGATAATCAATGTCATAAATCTTCATTTGAAAGTTGATCAATACTATACGGGATCACATGCAAGAATTGTACATAATTTAAATATAAATTTGTTTGGAAATGTTTCAATGAATTCAATAAAATTGGCTCAGGTAGGAAAATATTAACCGGAAAATCCCAAGATTTTGAATTCTCATTTGATTTTAGTTCAAATTTCATTTAAATGGAATTGCCGAATTAAATTCCACAAAAGTTCAATGCAATTGTGTTGAAAATCCATCTTGTCAAATTCCAGCGGCCATCTACTATTCTGGAAGTGCATTTTTACCTGGTAATAATAAAAAAAATCTCTTTTATCAAATCTCCGGCTGGATTCAAGGATGTCTTATCATTGATTCGCTTTTTCTTTCAACGTTGGAATGTTTATATGAAAATTCGGATTGTTTTCCCCTTTTATTAAGCTTTATTGAAAAGAAAAGAAAATCTTTAAATAATCAATCAGATGTATTTCAACCATTGGTTTACAATCCCCAAACTGATTTTTTTTCTCCTCAAACAAAAATTTCTGAATTATTTGTGAAAATGTTGGTCGATCGATGGAATTCGTTGATTTCATATAAACTATTCTATGACTCATGTTCACCATCGTTGTGTACTTATTCAAAAGAAATTCCAAAAGAAAATATTCTTGGAATAATTATCAAATTAATATCAACGATTGGAGGAATCGTCGGTGCGTTGAAAATCTTCACTCCTTATCTTGTTAAATTTATCGTGAGACTCTCAAAAATATGCAACATCAAACAAGAACCAAAAGAACCAGCTCAACGAAGTACAATGAAAATGGAAATAAAAGATTTGATTAGAACGATTCGGAAAATATTAATTGAATTGAATTTATTCTCGTTTCGTGATTTCGGAAGTGATCTTGATCGAATAAAAGCGAAAAATTATGGTCAATGGGCAACTCGTCTTTATCTTCTCCTATATTTGCTTTCCTTTTCTATTCTTATCTTCTACACACTTATTCAACCAAATGTTGTTATCGAAGCATTTCCAAAACCATCATTGGATTTATATAAAAACTTGAAAAATCGCCATGGAAATCAATTAAAATGTTCATGTTCAAAAATCGCATCCAGTAACAATGAGTTTATTGAAATTAATTCAAGATTTCATTCGGTAAATTCAACACGAGTGTCAAATACGAACGTTGACTTAAAATATCAGAGTTAGAGGTATAAGCCAATGGACTGTGAGTCGCCGACACATAATTTTTGAATAAAAATCGAATACGTAGGATACCTTTGAGCAGGATTCGACGTTTTCTTGAGCCGATTCATTTCAGTGTATGTTCCAGCCGGAATAATACTGGTTCCAATCATAAAATTTTCCACCCTCACCCCTCACACACCTCTAATGATAATGCCAAGAATGAATTAAAGCTTTCTTTGTTGAATTTTTTCATTTTTATAGATTTGTTCAAATGAATTTATCACGAAAAAATGGCAAATTGATTTGTCAAGTTATTCTTTAAAAGATTATCGTCGATATTTGTTATCGCATTTCCAATATCTTCGCGGATTATGTGAAATCTCACAAGAATTAATAAATAATTGGAAAAATGAACTGTCAACGTCATTATTAATCACAATTGAACTTCTTTCCAAAGAAGATTTTTCAAATTATTTTCAAAATTTAATTGATCGCAACAAACTTTTCTCGTCAATCAAATTTTCTCGTTATTTAAATCTTATTCAAATAATCAATCACGGAAATTCATTGATTACAACATTTGGAACAAATTATCAATTTATTTCTTTAATATTAAATGAAAAACAACAAAATTATGCATTTACAAAAGAAGAAATTTATGATAAAAACTGTTCGTGTGGAATCGATCCAAGTTGTACTAGTGACGCGATGTTTATTGAAAAGAATTTGTCAATTCCAATTCAAGGATTGAAAATCGGATGTTTACCAAGTGAATCATTTCATTTGTCAACACTTGAATGTTTCTATAATCAATCATGTCTTGATCTTCTTTCAAAATGGACAAATTCTACCAACTCATTAAAACCATTATCAATTGAATCAACTCGTTTTAGTTTAAATACAACAATCAACGAATTTATCGAAAATTTCTTTGTGGAACAATTGTCAATTGAAATGAATTATTCATTATATTATCATCAATGTTTCCCTTTGTTATGTTCGATAAAATTCATTGAAAAATTTCATGTATTTTATTTGATAACACTTTTTATTGGACTTGAAGGTGGTTTAACAATTGGGCTAAAATGGCTTTCTCCAAAATTAATTCGATTTTTACTTCAATTGAAAAGAAAACAAGCAACACAAATTCATACAGAAAATTCGTTAAATCTTATTCGAATTTCCTCATCTCGACATTGTTCAAAGATGATTTTTCCAATTTGCTTTCTTTTATTTCTCATTGGAATTCTCATTCTTTTTTCATTTTATTATTCTCAGCACAGTAGGAAATTTTTGTTTTGATGAAACTAATTCTTCCATTATATTCTGCAATAGTTTCACAATCAACTCGAACAACAACTAAACATTTCATATCGACAACAAGTTTGTTACCATCAACATCTTCGGTTACGTCAAGTGAATTATTTTCGGTAAAATTTTTTAAGAAAAACTTGTTTTTTTTAGAAATTCCATGTCGATCAAAATTCGAACAAATCACAATAAATATTTCATGTTCGGAAGCAATTTTATTATCAATTGAAAGTATTCTTGTTGATATAAACAATGATAAGAAAATTGATTTGATTTATTTTTGTGTTTTTCGTCAAAATCAAAAACTTTATATTTTATTAGGAAATGATCGAGGAACATTTGAAAAGCCAAGGATGTTTTTCTTCTAATTTGACTTCATTAAATCGGATTTATGTTGGAGATTTTAATAATGATAATCAATCGGATTTGATTATTTCACATTATATTCAACGAAATCCACATTTAACAGTTCTATTAGCAAATCGTAATGGAACATTTCAAGATCAAAATCTTCTTTCAATGAAAATCAATGAAACTCTGAGAGAAATGAAAATTATTGATGTCAATAACGATCAAATATTGGATCTGATCATAATTGTTCAGCGTGAGAAAAATATTTATGTTTTATTAGGAAATGGAAATGGAAGATTTGCATTGGATTTGATTTTATTCGTTCGAGCGAATTCTGATTTAAAAGGCTTAGATGTTATTCATCTAAATGATGATAATTATCTGGATATTATCGTCAATGATCAATCTTCGTCACATTTTCTGATTTTTTATGGGAAAAGTAATGGAACATTTCATAATTTACCCAAATGGATTTTTACAAGGGTTGATGGAGAAATGTCGACAGTGATTACAGGAGATTTTAATAATGATTTTCGATTGGATGTTGCTTTTGTTTATGAATTAAATGGTTTCAATTATTTGATTTATCAAAATAACAATCAGAGTTTTGATATCAAAGACAAAAATATGATAACATCTGTTCAATATTTTAATTTAGTTCTTGTTGATGATATTAATAATGATAACTATTTAGATTTGATTGTTGATTTCCTTCTTCCATATGAAATTTATATTTTATTTGGAGATGGAAAAGGAAAATTTATTGAAGAAAAATTTTATTCAAGTGAATTTCGAGATATGAATGGTTGGATTAATATTAATGATTTTAATTATGATCATTATCAAGATATTATTTCGATTAACAAGGGAGCGAGTTTAATTAACCCATTCAGGACGGGTGGCCACTATAGTGGCCACTGATTGTTTTTGAACAGTGAAACGCTATCCATTAGCCATCAGAAACAGCTGCGTATGTATTATAATATACCTATCATAATGATATATATGTGGTGTAGTTATCGTGGTCAGTCATGCTTTTCGCTCTTTTTCTCTGCATTAGACCA